TCTCTCTCTCTCTCTCTCTCTCTCTCTCTCTCTCTCTCTCTCTCTCTCTCTCTCTCTCTCTCTCTCTCTCTCTCTCTCTCTCTCTCTCTCTCTCTCTCTCTCTCTCTCTCTCTCTCTCTCTCTCTGTGTGTGTGTGTGTGTGTGTGTGTGTGTTTTTGTGTGATGGTGATGGTGGGATTAAGTCACTGACAAGGAATATGATCATTGCAATCTGTTTCCCCCCCCCCCCTCTCCTTTCCCTTTGGACTCTTTGATTAGCTACATTCCCACCCCATGCCAAACAAATTGGAAGAATAAAAGACATATCAGGCATAATTTCTCAGCTTTAACTGGGTTTCATTTGACACCGTAAGACCATTTTGCCATGGTAGATCAGAGATGGGTGGATTTCTGCTTTTCCATAGGAAAGGCAATTGAATTGAGAGAAAAATGGACTCCCATCCAGAAAAAAAAGTACATGCAGGAATATAACTTTTGATGGAATCTAAGGTGAGATTGCCCAGGTTTATACATGACGGGAGGCCCTAGCAAGGTTTGTTTTGTTTCAACTCAGTATGATGAAATGAGTGACTGTAATTTGTAAATCATGGTTCAATTTTATTATAGTAGGATTTATACCAGACTGGGTGTACTCATGTTAATCCTTAAACCCAGATTAATGCAATACAAGTGTACAACATGTAGTGCCCAAATAAACTATGCTGGCTCATTGTGGATGGACTAACTCATATATTATGATAATGTTTGGATTCCCCAAACATGCTGAAATACCAGTTATCCAACATCATATTGGCCTAGTCTAGCATATTGTGTGAACTTAGCCCATTTAGTAACGTTAGTAATTAACAAATCAAAATGCGATTTGTTAATCCAGAAATTATGTGAACTAGGGCACTACGATATTATTAAAACATGTCATGGGTTAGCACAGTTTGAACAATATATAGATAAGCTATAGATAAGAATGTAGGAGTTGAGTTAAGTTTCTGCAAGTTAGAAATGGGCATGGATAAGTACTTCACTGCCAAAGGTAACTTGGCTCCTACCAGTATAAGTTTAGATGCATCCTGAAAAAGTCAATGTCTTTCAGTTAGAGGTGGCATAAGTATTAGATTTTTGGGAGCTAGTTTAAGTATTGTTTATTTTTTGGTGAGTGTCATGGAAGAAGGGACATATCTGACAGGCAAGCTTTTGTGAACAATAAATCCATTCAGGTTTCCAGGGGATTCAGAACAACAAAAATACAATAGATTCATAGTGAGCCTGTTAGTCAGAAAGTTGAGCAGTTGTAGTCCAATGTGTTTGGACAATAAAAGCTGGCCACTGTGATCTTTAGTATCAGAATACATCTTTCTTGGTACCCATTCACAGCTAAAATAACTTACATTAAATTACATGTAATTTTTAAAGTAAGATTTTTTTTTTAAAAAAATGGAAAGTTGGCATGGTGCAGAGCAAAGAAAGTATCCAACATCAGTATCATCTTAATTTCAAAAATTTATCTAGATCTTATTTCTTAGGAAATAAAATAAGGGTTATATGTAATTCACTGCTTAGGGTATCTCCTTGTACACAAAAAAATGAAATCAGGAATAGGTGGTAGCATTTTGCATGAGGTGGCGGGTAGAGAGTGATGGTACATAACATGCCTGTAAATCAATGCTTTATAACTGGTTATGTTCTTCCATTGCAGCCATTTTGTGAATGGACAAGTGTTCCTAGCAGCACAAAACTTTAGGGACCCTTGCTGTTGAAAACTGCGGACTGCCATCACCAGGTTGCTTGATGATGTGTGATATTTTTGTAGTGATTCTGGAAGTTGTAATGTTAAGTATGTGAAATATTGGAAGTTGGAAAGAATTTTGCCAAATTATATTAAGAGACCTTATATTAGAAGTTGTATTTGTTTTGTTTTGTGTTATCACAAATTTGCAAAATACTAGTTTCTAAAAAAGAAAACTAATGGGAGATATGGTAGCAGTCTATAAATATTTAAAAGACAGTCACATCCAGGTGGAAATGGCCCAATTCTCTGTTGAAACTGAGAATAAAATAGAGACTAAAACAGACTGAAATTAAAGAGTTCAAAAGAATTTCCTAATGATTAAAGCTGTTAAAGCAGTGAAACAGCCTACCTTGAATAATGATGATGGACTTCAGTGCCCAGAATTCCCCAGCCAGCATGATTTAAGCATAGCTGGCTGGGGAATTTGGGGAGCTGTAAGTCCACACATCTTGGATTTGCAGAGGTTGAAAAACATTGTATTACAGATGCATATTGGTGCTTTGTTGTGTTATGATTTCTATTTATCGCACTGGAATAGTTGTGCAAAAAACAAGGATTGGTCTGCTTTCTGCACATGGTTTGCGGTTAAGGATGTTCTTTTCTCACAGAGTGTGTACTAACTCTAAGCATGGCCTTTTTGGGCCACAATGTCCTGTTTTGTTCATGAGAAAAGCTAGCGCTAAATTCCCACTAAAACTTATTTTATTCTTTTGGGGTTGAAATTGGTCAGGTTTTCCAGATGTGGCTGCCTTGCCCAGCAGTTCAGTGGTGAGGAACATGGGAAGATGTACTTCATCAATCTCTGCATGGCTGCACTCAACACTGGTGTTGATGAACTACAACTCCCAGCATCCTTCACTGACCTGCTGTAGTTAGCTACATCTGGAAAAGTGTTTCTTAATTCTGAAAGAAGAGAACAAGGGCAGCGGTAAAGGAGATTTCTCTTGGTTTCAAAACTTTTTGGACAGCCATTTGTCTGACATGGTTGAGGGTCTCCTGCTTGAATGGGGGGTTGGACTAGATGACCTCCAAGGTCCATTCCAATTCTGTTATTCTTTCCTGCCATTGCCCATTGGAGGTTCTTAAGCAAGAACTGGATGGCTACCAATTTAGTACATTCTTGCATTAACTTCAATTCTTACATCTCATAGTTCCCTGAGCATTTCTTTTAGATGAGACTATCTTGGATTGGTCAAATACTCTGGTCCTTAGTCCACTGTTGCTGTATATATGTAGGTTGGTCTATTTGTGGATGGACTTTGCTACATAGAGAAGTCTATCTCAGAAATAAAATATATGATCCCAAATTCTTAGAATGCTAACATATTCTTTGTTATGTTCTGTGCTCATCCAAATACTTGGTGATGTTAGAATGTTTCTGCCATGCAGCTAAATTTGGGCATAAGAGGGTGGGAGTGATTTGAGGACAAGGTTAGCAGTTGTCCTAGCTTTCACATATTCAATCACTGTATATCCTGCCTTTCTACTTGTTTCAATAGCACTGGGGAAGGTGATGCAATCATCTCAACTGACAGATTGTTGTAGGTGGGTAGCAAGATACTAGAGCAGAAAGCAGTGTTCAAGCACACTTCCTTCAGGTATATTGGAAAACACTGTTCCATCCCACTCTTTTTTTTTCATTCTGGGTAAAGCGGTCAGGGGTACTTGCCAATCTCCATTACATATGACCCAAATCTCATAGAACTGAATTGGGATATGTGAAATCAAAGGCTGGCCTTATAATAAGAGTGGCAGCCTTTCATGCTCAATTTGTCAGCTGCTGTCTAACATTTAGCATCAATTCTAGGTTACAAGGACAGACCTTAGGGGAAGAGGACTTACTGACTATTGCTCCCTTCACTTTTTCCTTACTTGCCATTTACTTTAGATCAGAAGTCAGCATATAGTGTATAGTTGCCAAGGTGCCTGTCGCCCCCAGAATCAGCTATGATCTTAAATACCCTCATTTCAAACAATGCAATGTAATATGGTGCAGTATAATACTTAAAGAGAAAAATCTTTCAAATCTTGTAGAAATCACCAAATTCTGGAATGTTTTTGTACTTTAACATGAATTCTCATCTAAGAATGCTGAAACCCTGCAAGGTTAGGTATGAGAACTATGTCATCTCTCCCAA